GAGTCTTCCTCTTCTTTTCTGACCCTCCACCTTACCAAACATGATAGGGCTACTTTTTTTTCCCCCCTTATTTTATTTGTTTAAACTTGTTGTTATGAATTGAGTAAAGGTTAACAGACAATTTTATTTGTATTCAACAACTCATACACTTTGTTCCTTCGTCATGATTGCAACAAACAGTTGTTCTGCTTCCTTGGTGGTGGTGGTTGTTAATTGCTATGGAGTCAGTTCTGACTCATAGCAACCTTGTATAGTGTTTCCAAGGAGCAGCTGGTGGATTTCAACTGCTGACCTTGTGGTTTGCAGTCCAGTGCTTATTGTACAGTGCCACACTAGTACATATATCCTCTTTCAAACTCATATATTTGTGGGATATATAAAGACAAAATGTATGCATGTATATATATATATATTTATACACATATATGCATGTATATGTATGTGTATATGTGTATGCTTGTGTGTATACATACATGCATGCATACATACATATGTATATACATACCCACTCTTCCTCACATACGCATTCATACTGTGCCTTTGCTTGTGTATCTACACGCAGAACAGTGTTATTCCAAGGTTGTGTGTATATCACTGTTTATCTCTATTCCCTTTAGCCTTGCATAGCTCCTGTTATAATTATTCTTCAGCCAACCTCCCTTCTCTTGTGTATGCACCCCCCACCCCTTGTATATTGTCATCCTGGTCACTCAAGTTAATGTGTGCCTCTAGGCAGTGTGCCTCTAGCCAGTGAATTACTCTCCCTTTCCTCCCAACCCTAGTAACTATCAAAGAATACTTGTTTTAGTATGAAAATGTTTTCTTTTGTTTTTGCAATAGTGGTTTCATACAATATTTGTCCTTTTGTTATTATTATTTCACTCAGCATTATATCCGCCAGGTTCATCCATGTTATGAAATGTTTCACAGATTCATCATTATTCTTCAACATTGCATAGTATTACATTGTGTGTTTATACCAGAGTTTATTGATCCAGTCTTCCACTGATGACCATTTAGGCTGTCTCCCTCTTTATGCTATTGTGAATAGTGTTACAAAGAACATAACAGTTTGCATATATCTACTTGTGTCCTGGCTTTTTTTTTGTCCATGTATCCAAGTAGAGTGATAACTGGGTCAGATGATATTTGTATTGCCAACTTTCTGAGGACGTGCCATACTGTTTTCTAGAGTGGTTGCACCGTTTTACACCCCAGTAGCAATGTAGGAGGGTCCCAGTCTCTCCATATCCTCCCCACCATTTGTTTTCTATTTTTTTGAACTTTGCTATTAATCTGTTGTGAAATGATATCTCATTATTGGCTTGATTAGCATCTCTCTAGTGGCTAATGATCATGAGCATTTCTTCATATGTTTGTTAGTTGCCTGAATGTCTTTTTTGGTGAAGTGTCTGTTCATGTCCTTAAGTTCATGTTCATTTGTTAATTTGGTTGTTTGTCTTTTTCTTGTAGAGGTGTTGTAGTTTTCTGTACATTTTAGAAGTTATCCCTTGTCTGATATGTCACTGCAAAAAAATTTTTCCCAGTCTGTCGGCTAGTTACCTTTTTAATCTGTTGGCGAAATCTTTTGATGCTCATAATTGTCTAATTTTTAGGAGACCCCAGTTATCTATTTTGTCTTCCACTGTTTGGTGTTTATAGTGATGTTTGATAGTGTATTTATGCCATGTAGTAGGTAGAGCGCCTAAGTTTGAACTTGTTTTTTCATTGCTGATCTTTATAGTTCTAGGTTTTACATTTGTTTTTAATCCACCAATTGGTTGACCTTGTTTTTGTTTATGGGGTGACATACGGGTCTTGTTTCATTCTTATGCAGATGTATTTCCAGTTTTGCTAGTACCATTTGTTGAAGACATTATCTCTTCCCCATTTAATGTTTTTTGGCCCTTTGTAAAAGATCAACTGACTGTATGAGGATGGACTAACTTCTGGATTCTCAATTCTCTTTCATTGATCTATATATCTGTCATTGTACTAGTACCATACTGTTTTAACCACTGTAGCTGTGTAGTAAATTTTGAGATCAGGGAGTGAGATCTTTGTTCTTCTTAATTTATGCTTTGCTTATCCCTGGTCTCTTTCCTTTTTATATATAAAGGTCATGGTCATTTATCTACCTCTTTAAAGAATGATGTTGGAATCTGGATTGGAATTGTGTTATATATTTGGGTAGTGTCGGCATTTTCACTATAGTAAGTCTTCCTATCTATGAGGAAAGTATATTCTTCCATTTTTGTTAGTCTTTTTTGTTTCTTAGAGTACTATTTTGTATTTTTCTTTGTATAGGTCTTTTATTTCTCTGGTTAGATTATTCCTTTCAGAACTGACTGGATAGCACTTAACAACAACAACAAGAATTTCATCTTTTGGATGGCTGTTATAAATGGTATTGTTTCCCTAATTTCCTACTTGGAGCTGTCTTTATTAATGTGGAGGAATCCATCTGATTTTTATATTTAATCTTGTACCCTGTCACGTTGCTGAATCTTTCAATGATTTCCAGTAATTTTCTTGCTGAGTCTATGGGATTTTTTATGTATACGGTAATAATCTGCACATAAAGAGAGTTTTAATTCTTTTACAATTTGGATACCTTTAATGTCCCTTTCTTGCCTTTTGGCTCTGGCTGTAGACTTCTAACACAATATTAAATAGGAGTGGTGATAAAAAGGGCATCTTTGTCTGGTTCCTGTTTGCAAAGGAATGCTTTCACTTTCCCTACATTGAGGGTATTGTTGGTTGTTGAATTTGAATATATGCTCTTAATTATAATGAAAAATTTCCTTTCAATTCCTACTTGTTGTTTGCCGTGGAGTTGTTTCTGACTCATAGCGACCCTGTACAGGGTTTCCGAGGCTGTAAATCTTTACGGGAGCAGAAAACCTCATCCTTTTCCCACGGAACATCTGGTAGTTTTGAACTGCTGACCATGAGATTAGCAGCCTAATTCATAACCTCTACTTGTTTTTTTTTAAATCAGGATTGGGTGTTGGATTTTGTCAAGTGTCTTTTCTGCATTAATCAATATGATCATGTGGCTCTTTTAATTTGTTTTATTTACATGGTGGATTATATTGATTATTTTTTAAAATTGAACCATTCTTGCATCTCTGGAATGAATCCCCCTTAGTCATGATGTGCGTTTTCTTTATTTTTTTTAATATGATGTTGAATTCTGTCGGTTAGTATTTAGTTGAGAATTTTTTGCATTTATGTTCATCAGGGAAATTGCTCTATTTTTTTTTTTAGTGAGGAGGTCTTTCCTGGTTGTGGCATAAGGGTTATGCTTGCTTCATAAAATGTATTTGAGTGTTTTTCAACCTTTTCTGTGTACTGGAATAGTTTGAATAAAATTGGTGTTAGCTCATCTCTGAATGTTAGGTAGAATTCACCAGTAAAGCCATCTAGACTTAGGCTTTTTTAAATTGGGAGGTTTTTAATAGCCTCATCAATTTCATCTTTTGTTATAGGTCTGTTCAAGTTTTCTACTTCACTTTGTGTTAGTTTAGGAAGGTTGTGCTTTCTAAAAATGTATCAATTTCTTCTATATTTTCAAATTTTGGGAGTACAGTTCTTCATATTATTCTGTTATTATTGTTTGTATTTCCATATCATTTTTGTGTATGTTATGCACATCTTGTCTTTCTTTTCTTTTATTAAATTTGCCAATGGTTACCAATTTTAGTTATCCTTTCAAAGAACCAATTTCTTAACCTTGTTGCTTCTATTATTTTTCTGTTTTTGAATTAATTTATTTCTGCTCTAGTCTCTATTTCTTTTCTTCTGGTGACTGTAGGCCTACTTGACTGGTCTTTTCTGATTGTTGCAGATGTTGTGTTAATGTGTTGATTTTGCTTCTTTCTGACTGTGTGGATTTGTTGCTATTAATTGTCCATAAGCTTTGCTTTTGCTGTATCCCTGAGGTTTTAGTATGTTGTATTTTGTTCTCATTTGAGTCAAAGGTTTTTTTTTAATTTCAGTTTTTATTTGTTCTATGAGCTCTGGTAGCATCGTGGTTACGAATCGGGCTGCTAACCTCAATGTCAGCAGTTCGAAACTACCAGCTATTCTATGGGAGAAAGTTGAAAGTTTCTGCTCCCGTAAAGATTTACAGCCTCAGAAACCCTGTGCAGGGTCACTATGAGTCAGAATTGACTCCAAAGTACTTAACAACAACATTAGCAATTAGCTTTTCAGCAGGGTATTGTTTAATTTCCATG